GACATACAGGGAAGAACTGAGCTGTTTGGCACTGGAGCAAGGGCTGGAGAGGGGGCTTTCTCCTGGACAAACGTGCTGTCAGAGGCCTTTGTTCCTTTGGTGAGCCCTTCCCTGGGGCGGCAGACAGTCTCCATATCTGGGACTCCCACAACCTGACTCACACTGGTAGCTCCGCCCTGGGGACTCCCTGAGGACCCGCCCCACCCCACCCAACTTTCAGGCCCACCCAAGCTGTTGCCACTTGCTTAACCATAGGATTGGCCTGTCTTGAATCCTGCTTCAGGTTTTTCCTAAATTCGTTCAAACGAGCAGCATCTGGTCTCAGCTAGCCCCATAACCTCTCGTTAAGTAATACACTGAAACAAACACAGGGAGGCAGCCAAAATGAGGAGACAAAGAAACAGGTCCCAAATGAAAGAACAGAACAAAACCCCAAGAAAAGAACTAAGCAAAATGGAGATAAGCAACCTAATAGACGCTGAGTTCAAAATACTGCTTATAAGGATGTTCAATGAACTTAGTGAGAACCTCAGTGAACTTAGAGAGGGCCTCAAGAGCATAAAAAGGACCAGTCAGAAATCATGGATGCACAGTTAGAATTAAAGGAGGCATTAACTGAAATAAAGAATAATTTACACAGCTTCAATAATAGAGTATGTAAATCCAAGGAGCAAACCATCGATTTGGAATATAAGGAAGCAAAAAATCCCCAATCAGAACAGCAAAAAGAAAAAAGAATCCAAAGAAATGAGGATAGTGTAAGGAGCCTCTGGGACAACTTCAAGCGTGCCAACATTCGCATCTTGGGGGTGCCCGAAGGAGAAGAGAGAGAACAAGAAATCGAAAACCTGTTTGAAACAATAATGGCAGAAAACTTTCCTAACTTGGTGAAGGAAACAGACATACAAGTCCAGGAAGCACAGAGAGTCCCAAACAAGATGAACCCCAAGAGGCCCACACCAAGACACATCATCATCAAAATGCAAAAGGTTCAAGACAAAGAGAGAATCTTAAAAGCAGCAAGAGAAAGGCAGCTAGTTACCTACAAGGGAGTTCCCATTAGGCTGTCAGCTGATTTCTCAAAAGAAACTTTGCAGGCCAGAAGGGAGTGGCAAGAAATATTCAGAGTGATGAAAACCAAGAACCTACAACCAAGATTACTCTATCCTGCAAAGCTGTCATTTAGAATCGATGGCCATATGAAGAATTTCCCAGACAAGAAAAAGTTAAAGGAGTTCATCACCACCAAACCGTTATTATATGAAATGATGAAGGGTCTTTTTGAAGAAAAAGATAAAATATATGAACAAACAAAATGGCAATGAATACATATCTATCAACAATGGAATCTACAAACAAAATGAACAGGTAGAACAGAAACATTCTCATAGATACAGAGAACATTTTGTTGGTTCCAGTTGGGAAGGGGGTTGGGGGAATGGGTGAAAAAGGTGAAGGGATTAATAAGTACAAATTCATTGATAGACTGACAAACCTCAAAGGGAAAGGGGTTGGGGGGGGGGGGAATAAACCAAAGAACTTATATGCATAACCAATGGACACAGACAATAGTATGGGAAAAGGCGGGAGGGGGGCTGAAGTGGGAGGAGGGGGTCAATGAGGAAAAAATGTGGAGCATCTGTAATACATTTTACATTCAACAATAAAGATTTTTTTAAAAAATGGGCCAAAGGAAATAAGCCAAACAGAGAAAGACAAATATCTTATGATCTCAATTATTTGTGGAATACAATGAACATAACAGTCTGAGGAACAGGGTAGACGCAGAGACGTGGAAATAGGGTACAGACTGACAATCCTCAGAAGAGGGTGTGCGGAGGAGGGAAGAGATAAACCACAGAACTTATATGCATGTACGCATAACCAATGGACATGGACAACAAAGCTGGGGATGGGGTGGGGGTGGGGGGTGGGGAGGAGGGTGTCAATTGGGAAAAAAGGAGAAATATCTGTAACAAAAATAAATTTTAAAAAAGGAGGGGGGTGCCAAGGACCTGAATAGACACTTCAACAAAGAGGACATACAAATGGCTGAAATATGTTCGATGTCACTAATCGTCAGAGAGATTCAAATTAAAACTAGAATGAGGTATCACTTCACATCTGCCAAAATAGCTACCATCAATACATCAACAAACAAGAAGTGCTGGCAAGCATGTAGGGAAAAGGGAACTTTTGTGCACTGTTGGGAATGCAAACTGGTGCTGCCACTGTGGAAAACAGTATGGAGTTTCTTCAAAAAAATTAAAAATGGCCCTGGCCGGTTTGGCTCAGCGGTTAGAGCGTCGGCCTGCAGTCCAGAGAGACCCGGATTTGGTTCCCGCTAAGGGCACATACCTCGGTTGCAGTTTGTCCCTGGCCCTGGTCGGTCGTGCGGGTGGCAGCCACTTGATGTGTCCCTTCACATCGATGTTTCTTTCTCTCCCTCTATTCCTCTCTCTCCCTCCCACTCTACCTGAACAAAAAATGGAAAAATGTCCTCGGGTGAGGATAAAAAAAAAAAAAAAATTAAAAATGGAACTATCTTTTGACCAACCAATCCAAATTGTGGGGATATCTCCAAAGAATCCCAAAACACCAATTAGAAAGATTATATGCACTTTTATGTTCATAGCAGCATTATTTACAATAGCAAAGATCTGGAAACAACCCAAGTTTCCATCAATAAATGAGTGGATATAAAAGATGTGGTACATTTACACAATTGAATATTATGTGGCTGTAAAGAAGAAACTTTTTTACGACTGCATTGATGAACCTGTAGCTTATTATGCTAAGCAAAATAAACCAGTCAGAGAAAGACAAATACCATATAATCTCACTTATATGTGGAATCTAATGAACAAAATAATTGATGAGCAAAATAGAACCAGAGGTATAGATATATGGAAAAGACTGACAGATCTCAGAGGGGAGGATGTGGGGGGTACTGGAAGAAATTAACCAAAGAACAGATATGTATAATAGTCCACGAACACAGACAACAATGTGGTGAAGGCTAGGTTAGTTGGGGGTTCAGAGGCTAGCTAAAAAGGGTAAAGAAGCAGGGGAATGGGGGACATTTGTAATAGTGTCAACAATATTTTTTTTTTAAATGAAGGAGTTTGCAGGACAAATTCCTGAATAATCAATTCTCTAGTAATCTATTAATTCACCAATGAATTAACTCATTAAAGTTATCAAATTTACCTATCTTAAAACTTATTCTTTTAATTATTTATAAAGTAACTGTTCATTAGATGGACTTGTTTTCAGAAAATTGACCTGTTTGATGATAGAAAGTCAAAAGAGAAGGAATACAAATGGCAGCAAGCACCATAAGCACTCAAGAGCTAAAGGAGGCAAAATTATTCAAGCAACCTTAGCACATACCCTCCACAGAATGGTGGCTATGAAAGGAAGATTCCCATGGAATAGTGAATGGAAAGAGAAAAAGAGATTGTATAGAAGCTTTTACTAAATAGAGTAGTAGAGAAGAACACCTCAGGGAGAAAGGTATTGGTTATGGTTCCTTTTCTTGTGTTTAACCTGTGAGACTCAAATAGGTACACATGTTGAATGGAAAGCTCTTGCAAAGAGAATTTGAAGCAATGAACAGAAAGGTCAGATGAATTGATACCCTCTGTTCCAGAAAAAAAGTGGGGAAATAAGATCTGCAATAAAGATGAAGGGAGAAGATATATACTTCCCTGACCCCTTCTGGAGTAATTCTTCTGTTAGGTCACACAATTGTTGAATCTCCTTTTACCATGATGATCAAGGTACGTGTCATCTGCTTAGAGGCTCTAATGCAATTCCATGTGAATCTAATTAGAAAATTTTCAGAATGATGTTCCACTGTACCCTGAATTCAATGGAAGCAAGACCCAAACCCAGAAGTATGCCAATCTTGTAACTGGTGTTCACAGCACTAACATTAAACACACAAAAAAAGTTTTTAATTCTCATTTTTCTTTGTCCCAAACCCTCATCCCCACTGTCACTTTCCTTCCCATGCAATATTCTACTCTTCCAATGGCTTCCCACATTACCAGGCCAAGAAAAGAATGTTTTGTTTAGTTTCTACCCAATACATTCAAAACTTCACAAGCATTTAAAGCCTACAATGATTTATTCTTATTCTTGAAAACATTGACATTTTTTAAAAAAATAAATGCACTTCATTGTCTGAAATCAAGTCACTGGTCTACTTAATTTAAGATCACCAATATTATATCAGCATTATACCATGTCAAAATTGTTATCTAATCATTATTGAGGTGTTATCAGTTCCTATAATGAACTTCCTATCTTAAATATGTTAAATTATTTTCTAGTCAATTGAGGATCTTCTCTAAATTGGAGCTTAGCAATATGTCAAGAGTCAGGGATAGAATCACATAGGACTCTAGCTAGCATTAGAATATAACATCCTGGTCACAACATCATCATTTAACACCTTTCTCCTGCAACTCTTTTCTATAGGAATCCAAATGAGAAGGTTCACTGTATGGTATAAGCTTTATCTCTCCTTTGTAGCCAAGGGCCAGGAAAAAATAAGATAAGCTGGTACTGGAAAGAGGAAAAAGAAAACACAGGAAAAATTCCACACACACCTGTGACAAAACATTATTTTGCTTTCTTTTATATACCGTCTAAAAAAACAAATACTTCTAGATCTTTAGAGAATTTATGCAGAAATAAATTCTCAAAAAAATAAAAATTTGTTACTCTCAAAATAGAAACTACTGATATAGAATATACATAGCTAATTGGCAAAGTTACTTCAAATAGAAAATTATAAAAACATAATTTAATACAAAAGAAAGAAACCCCAAAAGAATCACCATCAAACAATATACTTCGGAGGTCATTATAAGGGATTCTATTCTTATCTTGAGAATCACATCTAGTGGAAAATCAAGACTTAGGCTAGTAACCAACATGGGGTTTTGGTTTGTTTGTTTTAAAAAAAGAAGAAACATAAATTAGCAACCTACCGTCTGTCTGAGATTTACTGAGAAATATTGTGCTGGCTCGAGGATGGTCTGAAGGATTGAATTCCATGTTCAAATCTTTAAAGAAAAAAAAAAGAAAATACATGAATATCCATCTGATAACTAAGGCAAGTCAAGATTAATTTTCCATTTTTTCAACCTTAAATTGCTAATATATGCAAAGATTCTGAAAAAATACTATAGTTATTGTGTTCATAGCTTTTTCTAGGTTCAATTAAGAACACTATTATTTAGAAATCTGAGAAAGTCATATATCAAAATTAGACACTTAGCTGGAGATCTATTAGCCTAAAACTCTATTTTCTTTCTTTCTTTTTTTTATTAATTAATTTTTGTTACAGATGTTTCTCCTTTTCTATTTTCTTTTTTAAAGCATGCGCTGTACCTGGGAACTACAAAATACTAGGAGAGACTTACAATATGCAAGTAAAGAGTTATGTGCTACAACTAACTCATCTAAACTTAAAGTTAAATGAGTGGTATTTCCTTGTTAAAAGTGATTTGAAAAAATAAGCTAGCTTTAAGCCACATTAGAACTCATACTCTACTTCATTTTGATTATTTTCTGACAAAGCAAAACATCCTTTTTTTTTTTTTTAATCCTCACCCAAGGACATTTTTTGCATTTATCTTCAGATAGAGTGGGAGGAAGAGAGGGAAGAAGAGAGAGGGAAAAACATTGACCTGAGAGACACATCAAGTGGTTGCCAACCACACAATCCCAACCAGGGCCCAGTACAAACTGCAACAGAGGTATGTGCCCTTAAAGTGAACCGAACCGGGCCTCTCTGGTCCGTGGGCCAATGCTCTAACTGCTGAGCCAAACCGGCCAGGGCACAAAACATCCTAAATCAATGGCTACAAAATGACCATATGTGGGCATAATCTGGGACATAATGTGTTTTATTTGATTCACACGTTTTCTTTTATTTTTTTAATTTGAGGCAATGTGTAATTATTTTTACATTTCAAACATATACTACAAAGGAAAACAATCTGTATTTCCAGCTTCTCTTAACAAGTCAGATCATTTGGCAGTTCCAGGCCCCACCCCAATGGCCACAATCTGCTGGAACACAGCAGCTGCTGGCCCCTTCAGGTGGACTCTTAGGTTCCAGTCCCCAGTGGTCACTCCTTTCACTTCCCTGACACTCACTGGGTGCTGCTCCTCATTTTGACATTTGTACCCCTATAGGCATTTGGTTTTATAATCACTGTCTCAGAACGATTTCCAAGGGTCTCCATAGGCTTGTCAGTAAGTTATATAAACAATTTAGAATTCCATAATAGAATTTTTCCAGTTTAAAAAAATTATTCCATAAGGAAAGACTGAGTAAGCAAAACAAAAGAATTAAGGTAGGGGAGGAAAGGGAGACCCAAATTACTAAAAAGTCAGCACGATCTTAAAATTGGCTTTCAGCATCATAAAAAAGCTATTTTGAGTTCAGTCATTTCAATAAATTTGTAAAGAAACACATAAGAAAAGAAAAGACAAGGATGGTCATATATATACACTGGAGGCAACACCTAAACACTTATCCACAGAGACTTATCCTCAATAAGCCTTTGCAGTGAGGCAATTTTCCTTCCATCAGCCAATTTTTCTTACTGTACTGTAATTCCTGGCCTGTTACTGGGTGCTTGATTAAAGAAACACCTATTGAATCTTAAATGCTATTTCAACTATCTGATGTTTCTTCTGCGACAACTATTAAAACAATATATAGTATATGAAGTGGAATCGGACCGTCACCAAGGCAAGGGTCTGTAACAAGTCCCCAGGCAAATGAACAATCTGCAACACCACAAAGACAGAGCTGTTCTGAAATATCACCTGACCTTGATGTGAAATCTAGGACTCCTTTGAGACAAAACTGCTCTGGGTCCTCTCCTGCAGTGAAATCTAGCACACCTCCAAGACGAAGCCAATCTGGGTCATCATCTCCACAACCCAAGGTGAAGGCAGTAACATCACTAATCCAGAGAGACATTCTGGTTCATCTTCTCTAAGTCTCATTGGAGTTTTGATGGAAGGAGAAAGATAAGCAAAAGGACAATTTTTCAAACTTGTCTCAATTTGAACTAGATATGGTTAAGCCAGGAATTTCCTGGTGAAATGAGCCTTTATGAAAGGTATTCCTGCTCAACCAGGATTTTGTTATAAAAGAGTTAAATAACAAATGTGTTACTAAGTTTTCTTTTTCAGAGTATTCTGGCACATGAAAATTGAAAGTATCTATGTAATTCCAACCATGATTAATTCAGTTAATTTAACCAATCATTCCCATAGAAAAGTAACTGTGAAATCATTGTGCATGCAGTACTTCCTGTGGGGGCGGGGAAGGGGGGGCAACACCAAGAATTCAGTTCACTTGTCCTGGATAGTGTTGGCACACCAAATTCTTACTTTGTTCCCTTCATACCCAACTCAGATTCATCTACCAGATTAGCTGCTTTTTTGTTTGGAGCCAACAGTGGAGTCAAAATAACATAAGACTGCCATTTCATTTGGAATTGAGGCTTGTTTTAAATTCAAGAAAGTCTTGAGGACAATCCCTGACTCCCTAAAGATTAGGATTTGGTGCTATTATGTTCACAAACCCCAGAAATTGCTAAGACTGGGGGACTTTACAGACTCTGAGGGCTTCCAATAAAAAGGCATTTGTTACAGTAAACAACAATAGTTGGAACAGCTATTCCAAAATTTAAAAAATCATGTGAAAAACATTTTATTCACATGGAAATAAAATACCTTATGTCATTAGGTGAAGAAAACAGCATGATACCCTTCTGGGGAAAAAACATACATAGACACAGAAAACATTAAAAGAATACACACTAATATTTGGTTACCTTTTAATAATGGAATTGCACTTTTTTTTTTTTTTTTTTTTTGCTTTTCTGTGTTTTCTACATTGAGCATGTTTTAATTGGTTTGCTTTTTCAGCTTCTGGGATACTAATTATTTTTAAAAACAAGTTGTGAAAAATGATTTGAGCTCTTATTATCCACTACGTGGCTGGACTATTGTTTCTCCAGCACATGCTGGTGGCTCCCAGGAGATATCCCAGAATTCCCTTGGCTGTGACTGTTGGACCCGTCCCAGAAATCAGGGAGATGCACACGCCATAATCAAAGATGAATCTCCCCACCAACACTGTTCACCTTCTGTAGGAACTCACAATTAAAAGTGATTGGCACAGAGGGACCCCTGAGTGGAGAAGCCCTCATCCTGACACCAGCTATCTTGTCTCTACTGTACACACACACTTCCTGGTCTAAACAGAGCCATAGGGAAAAGGGTAAGATGACTGTTTGTTCTCTGCAAATCCAAGCAGCAGGAATCACATTTCACATTCTCCCTATGAAGTATGACACAAGGAAATAATTGCATTTTCCTTTAAGGCTGATCCTATGCTCACTGTACCACATGGCTGACAGGCCAGGTAACATCTCTGCCTAGTTCAGTGACAAAAAGCAAGTCATGAAGAGTTCAGAGAAGCCTTCAAGATCAGGGTTTGACATGATACTCACAGATGAGATGAGTGAGGCTGAGAGAGTTATGTAGCTAGATGATAACAGAGTGGACCAGAACTCTGGTCTCCAGTTGGAATTCCATAGTCCAGAGCTTTGCCCACAGTCCCTACTAGGCCAGACCTTGCCTCAGATCCCAAATGCTCACATACACTTTCTAAAGTTCTCTCTGGAACTTAAACTTTGGAATCTAGATCCTAGACAAGATAGGAAGTTTCCACAGGAAAAAAAGTCAAGGTAATTTCTACTTCTGGATATAAGAATCTGCAGTGCTGCTGAGGAAAATGGAGATCATCAGCGAATTTTTATTTGAAAGCACAGCCAGATGGTTATACAGGTTAGGGAATAACATTCACGAGCTGCCAGGACATAGCTTAGAAAAAAAGCATTCAATAACATGATGGTTTGCATTATTTTTCAATCCTAAACCAGATTTATATTTTAAAACTATAGAGTATAAAGTAATAAAACTCTACACCAGGGGCAAGCCAATGGACTAACTTTAACTTTGTACAGGACATGTCTAAAGGACAGATTTCTCTGAGTAACCTTAAATATGAGCGTGGCAAAATCAAAGAACCCAGCTATTTATGAGATTTAAATAGCAAAATGGCAGAGTATAAAGGTACGAAGAATTACCAGGTGTTTCCTACAAATCAAGTTTAAGGGGGTAGCCCCAGATCTCGAGGAGAAAAATGTTAATTACAAAATGTGCTTAGGCAAGGGCACTCCAATTTTGGAAAGAACAAAAAAATGGGAAAAAAAACATTCTCACAAGCCAAGCAAAATAAACTTGCCATATCAAACCTAAGATGTTCAGTCAAGTGCGACAAAACAGCTACACTAGCCACACAGGAAAAAACAAAAACACCTGACTTTGGAGATTCAGAACAAATGATGCCACAAATGTGTACAATGAATGAGTCAGGACACAATCATAAGAGTGCAATGGTCTCAGTTTGGCTCAGTGATGTTTCTGATTGGCAATTAAAATGAAGAAACTCCTGGAATATTAAACTTAAAATTAGAGATTACAGATTGTAAAGACAGAAAACAGGTCTCTCTTTACCTTGTGGCTTTTCCACAATTTATGAGAAGCACCTGGTAATTAAAACCCAAGACTGTTGGTTCCTTTAATACAAATGGCAGGACAAGATAATGCTACACTCAAGTTTACACTCTACACCCCCTCCATTCAGTTTTAACAGCTTCTGGCTGGTTAGCAAGAATTCTTCCTCCCCATTTCCCCTTTCCCTTCCCTTCTCCCCTTCAAACAGATGTCCCTTTTAAACTCTTCATAATTTTTGTTCTAAGCTTGTTTCACAGTTTTGGGAAAAAATGCTGGTAAGACAGTGCTCAGTGCATCTGCCTGACTGTTTCCAGGAAAACAAACAAGATGTAACTTGTCAAGACAACTCCCTCCCTTCCTTGTCGCTTAGCAACAATGACTGTTTGCTCTTTAAAAGTGCAAACCAGCCCTGGCCAGTTTGGTTCAGCGGTTAGAGCATCGGCCCACGGTCCAG